TTTGTTACGAGTCACTCGCACAACTCGAGCTAATTAATTAAACCAAGTTAAAACGAATGAGTGAAAAAGATAAAATTTGAGCTTAAACACGTATTATTTTTAAACATTGGCAGTGTATTACATGTTAGCTCGCTATAAATTCCTAACCATTTTTCACATTTTTCTGTGAGCTACCAAAAGAGATCTTTGTAATTTAATTTACATATTTTTTTAGCTAAATTGCGCATGCTCGCTAACCCTAACGACCAACTTGTTGTTTCTTCATAGCCTACCTACTTCAAGTCCACTACAAGGCTATGACATGAATTGTTTTGTGTAAATCAAACTTGCTACTTGCTTTCGATTTTCTGCACGGCGGCTGAAAAATGTCATAGGAGTTTACAGATAAACAGTAGCTGTTTTTGTAATTTTGGGTTGGGGTGTTTATAAATTTTCTACTCAAGCACGGAAAAGCACGGGAATATTGTGGAAATCACATATTTGACTGCGTTTAGTGAAGATGCAAATCTAGTGTCCGTTGGGTGGCCTGTTGTCTCGCTGCATTCCTCTTGAATTGGAAAGCCTAATGTTTCGCCTTGTTCCCTGCGCTGTTGGCAGGAAAAATTAGAGTACTTCTTTTCGTTGTCGAACTATTTCAGACAGGAAAGAAAAGAAAAATAATTAGCAAAGAAGAAAATTGCAACAACAGTGTAATTGTACTTTCGATTGAGAACAAACGTCTAAGTTATAGTTTGGTATGCCTTGAGTGGGAAGGGAAGGAAGGAGGGAAGGAAGGAAGGAGGGAGAGAGGGTGGAAGTATGAAACAAAAGAGGTATAGGAGAAAATGAAGAAAGAATGAAAGATTTCAAAAACCTAATAGTTACTAATTCCCGATCTGACTACTGTCTATTTTTCTTGGCTTCGTAACGCTACCCCTAAAAGGCTATTTTTTATTATGACTAATATTCTTACCTATAAACTAAGTCAGCGTTGTCACTCTATGTTCTCTCTAGAAGATGTTAAGTTCTTATTTACAATTGAATTTGCAACTAATGATAATATTGAAATATTGAAAAAATATTTAAAAAATGTTATAGCGCGACTTTCCATGAAATGATCAAGT